TCCACCAGTAAATAATTATTCTTGGACTGATCTTTGCCTTTATGTTTACTATGAGGTGCCAATGGAAAATTCCACTAAGAAAGCACAGTCCATTAGCCGATGAGAAATCAGCTTAAATAATGTAGGTGCTCCATAAGTCTTCAAAAGGAATAGAGTGATATTGATTTTGCAATAGTGCGTGGTAGATAAGCAATTCAGTACCTTTCTAAAATTAAATCACTAGATGGGCCTTGCTATATTCTTAACCAATATCTGTGATAGATCCTGAGAAAACAACTACATCACCATGAGCATCAGCTTCTGTGACAAAGTTGCTCATAGTATTTAAAATTCTCTCTCCTAGAACTTTTCCTGCCTATTATTTTCACCATGCAGATGCTAGCTAGACATCTGAAGAGATGCTCAACAGTTTCAGGCTTGGAAGAATGAGCCCAAGATGTCCATGAGCTTGCTTTAGCTAGTGTAATGTGTTGGGTCCTGAGATTCATTTTCCATCCTAAAACATATTGCAAGACATAGAATAATTCAAACTTATGCAGGGAGGGTAACACTGAATGACAACTGCCTAATGTGAGCATTACCTGGGTGCCCTTGTGACTTGCAATTATAGTAATTGCTTTTTCCTTAGTAGCGTGAACTGAGATTGTTAAATAAGAAAAAAAATTGAGAGCAACAGTAATAAGTGTGCATTTCCTCTTTTCCACACCCCTCCCACCCAAGAAAGCATTGAAAAATAATAATCTAAATGAATGAGGCACAATAAATATTACAATAAAGAAACAAAAAAGCTTGTCAAACCTGGCCATAAAAAGAACCTTCCTAACAGAAGGAAAGAAGACTCAGCAGAGTCGGTATCGGACTTGGGCAAAAGCCGTAATAGGTGAAAAAAGAATAAAACTGTAAGAAATTCCATCAATTATTGGACATTTTACTGAAGCTTTGCTTTCCTGTTTTTATTGATTTATCGCTGAGCACATTCTGTTACTGTCAGAAAAAGGGAAACTTTCCATGTTATAGATGTACTTTTAAAAATTGTTTTCCTTTTTTTAAGGCTCTTGCTTAGCAATCTGAATGAATCATACATGTACCATACATATCTCAAAAAAAAAAAGGAATTTCAAACTGCAAATTAAGTGTATTTAATTACTTTAATCTCTGGAGGGGAAAAAAAAAAAAAAAAAAAAAAAAAAAAAACAGACATGAACATCTTCCTGTCTCTACACTGTCATTTTTTTTTTCCCCTCAAACATCCAAAGCATTTAATATATATTTGCTAATACTGTTGTCTGCTTTGAATCTTCATTCTTTGGGTTCAATTCAACTGCACTGCTGTGAATGACAAGCCCATAAGAAATGGCAATATAGTTTAGGAAATTTAGTTTTCAGTCAAAATAACAATGAATCATACTTCAAGCTTGCAGTGAACAGCACACTGAAAAAATGGGATAGAATAGTTCCTATTAAATTAAGAAGACTTGGGATAAGAATTCATATTACACATTGATGTCCAGCTAACTAATAAGCAGTACCTGATTAGCACCTTTTTTTTTTTCCCTCCCTTTATAGTTTGATGCAGACAGAGATGAAGAAGAAGTGTTCTTTGACATAAGTTTGGCAGTTGACAATAAGCTATTTGCTAACAAAGAAGCTGCAGCAGGTGAGTTAACATAAGGTTTAAAGGACCTTTGTTTTCTACTGCTTCTGATACTGACCAGGTGCCTTTTTCATAATCCTATATAGATGTACGCACCGTAGAAAAATCTTAATAAACCTCAAACATTTGCACAACCAAGGGCAAAAATTCTTCTCACATTTGAAAGTGTTACGCAATCCAGAAGAATGTAATAATCTTGTTTTTCAACAACATCAATTTAAAACATTGTAGATAGTCCATTAAAAATATGGTTTTATACACTAACGTTATATTTTGATCAATTCCAGTTGTTAGTTACATCTTTTTCAATTCCAGGTTATATCACAGTGTTAACCAGGAAACCAATCCTATCATCCTTCCACCCTAAGAATTGCTACTAATTTAGAAAGTGTGTGTGACAGTATCAGTTAGGAGATTTTTTCTTGTATTTGTGCTCACTCAGGGTTGAATGTCTTCAAAGAAACAGCCTTTGAGGGACAAAGGACTGCAAAAAAAAATTGAAGGAAAAAAAAAAATTAAAGCACTAAAAATCCATAACATCTTTCAGAAACATTTTGCTTTAAAGGAACAGGAAAATATTTGTTGGTACCTTGACAAGTAGCTTTTTCCTGATAGGCAACCCTGGCTGTCTTCCAAATGGATCATGAGGGTTGTGGGGGGAAGGTAGATTAAGTTTCATTTTACCTAATCTACATTTTTTTTCCTGTGTGAATTCTATAAATTAATTTACATTAAAAATACTAGCAAGACATTTACAAACAGACCTATACTTCATAAAGAAAAATAGGTCATGTTTTGACCACTTTAAAGGCAGGGCCATTCTAACCATCCTTTGTACAAAATCCAACTGTAAGACTTATTTCATAATGTTCAAAATGAGATAAAGATGAGCTGTCAATGAGGAGAAAAAAAATGATAAAATGTATATCTAAAAAGCAGGTGTGTAGTGGTGGTCTCAAGACTAAATATTCCACTTCATTAAGTGGCACACTTACCTCTGATCTGTGCTTAGCTTTATTCTTTGGGGGAAAGTTTGATTCCAGACTTAAAATGGCATTCTCACTGTACGGTATTGTATTGGTAACTGCCTACAGATTCTTCAGTTAAATGCACTAATGAATAGCAAGAAGGAAAAAGTATCATAAAGGTACTGATTCTGAAAAGCAGGATAGCAAAAGCTAAGCAGTTCACACACTCTGGTTGTGTTTCTGGAAAGCCTGATCTACTTTTCCTTGCCTGAGGAAAAAAGAATTCTCACCAGAATAAACTGAAGAGGTGTTAGAAACCATGCCACTAGCCAGACTGTTGGCACATAGTATGTGCTTGCCCAAACTACTCAATAAGCTTGTTTTATTAGCAGGGTGATTATTTAGTTGAAAGAGAAAGGACAGCTAAGACCATTGGTGAGCTGGATCCACTGTGAATTGCATGTTTTACTGTCTGGTGAAGCTAGATTTAACATATGTAGAAGGAAGAGAAACTACTATTAAAGGAGACAGTTTAAAAATCAATAAATTAAAAGAGGCGGGTGGCGGGGAGAAACTACCATTAGGAGACTATTAGAGAGACAGAAAATGGGCTTTTCACTAACAAAGCAAACTGCATTTAGGCTACTTTATTGGCAGGAGTAGTCCTTGGGGCCTGACTCTCGAAGCTCAGTGCCTTGTTGTCATTGCCATCAAACTGGAGCAAACTGTCATGCAAAAGTAGATTGTTGTATTACAGTTTTATCAGGCTCCTATCCTAACAGGAAACAGGAGCAATGCAGGAGCTCAGTGCCTTGCTGTCATTGCCATCAGGCACACATTGGAGCAAACTGTCATGCAAAGTAGATCGTTGTATTACAGTTTTATAAGGCTCCTATCCTAACAGGAAACAGGAGATGAGCTGGTCTGCAGGCTAGGCTTCTCTAAATAACTTTTTTCTCCATGATTATTAGCAAATTCATGATCAAATTATACAGCCTTTGTTTCCATCAAAGATGTTCATACAGGAAACATAATTATCCCCCAATCCTTTTTTTGCAAAGGCTAGTTCACCATAAAGCACAACAGTAACAAACACAGACACTTTCATTCAAAAACATGTTGATTTTGGCATCTTCATTTTACATAACTGTTTAGTGGTAATTTCACAGGAACGGAGAGATCCTCAGTTCAATTCTGATCTCAGTTTAGGGGATTCAAACACCTCTTTCCTATTTCTCAGTATGAGGCCTCAAACCCAGGGGCCCTGAGCAGTCAGGAATACAAGAATGGTGATTCCAGAGGGAGCTAGATTCTGTACCCGTTTATTAGTTGAGAACAGAAATACCTCTTTTAAACTCTGCTCTGTCAGGTTTTTGTTGTTGTTGTTTTACTACTCAAAAAGCTAACATAAAATTCAGAAATACTCCAGAGAGCAAGGCTCTTTGGAAAGATAAGCCTATAGCTAGGCTTATACAGCTAGCCTATAGCTAGCCTATAACAGAGGCTTATAATACCTAATTCCCTGTTTTTTGTAAGACAACTTATATATATATGTACACAAACATGTATATTTCTATGTAGAATACAGTTTAACTGTGTTCTATAGAGCCCAGATAGGTGAATCAGACAATACCACATTATTAAACATATGAAAAAGAAATTAAACAAGACCACACAGGTGCCTGTATATGCATTAGGATTATTTAACAGGATGGTCTGAGTCAGAGATTCAGGCAACAACTTAAATATATATGTACACAAACATGAATATTTCTATGTAGAATACAGTTAAACTGTGTTCTATAGAGCCCAGATAGGTGAATCAGACAATACCACATTATTAAACATATGAAAAAGAAATTAAACAAGACCACACAGGTGCCTGTATATGCATTAGGATTATTTAACAGGATGGTCTGACACAACATGTATCTTAGCAAGTGGCTGATTTACTGATCCTTGAAAGCAGGAGAGCATCAAGAATATTCACCGTGTGCTTGCACTGTCTTGTACACTTTATGAGAATCCTACCTCAGCCAGTCCTCGAGATGCATTTTGAGCTGCATGGGCCTTCTGGTGCTTCCAGACAATCACACTGACATTCCCCAGCTGAGAAACCAGCTTTCCTCTGGAGCCTGCAGGATTCTTTATGCTCACTGCAGGGGTTCAACAGCTCTCATTATCTCTCATCTCCTGTAGGTTTTCATTGAATGGCTTCAGGATGATTTAATCAGCGGCTAAATTTGAGCACCTGTAGCAGAAAGAGACTCAAAGTAGGATTCCTAGAGATCCTACGTTTCTAGGGTTTGTAGGTTCAGTGTTCTCTTCAGGTTACTTTTTTTATTATTATTATCTTAGTGATTACCCTTAGTGATACTGCAATATATTTTGCTTCCTGGTGGACAGCATAGACAGAGTATTTCTAAATATTATTATGTCTCTGCATCATTTTCATTCATATGATATATCGACAAGATGGAGTTGTAATCAACTATGTGACAATACATGTTGAAAGAAAGCAATTGAATATTTTTATAGGTTACAATATAATTTTTCTCATTGTTGCTTCCAATGAAATATTAAAGTTGTTGCTAAGAGCAACAGCCTGTCACGAAATTCAACAGTGTAAGGTTGCAGTAAAATTTGTATTAGAAGCATCTTACCAAGAGCAAAATGAAAGTGTAATCATTTTAGTGCTAATCAGTGCTTTAATAAATTGTTTGTTTTATATTCCACTTGAAAATTATCTTTGGAGCATTTGTTTAGACCAAGTGCTTTTATTTAAGATGTGTTAGTTCAGTTAGTAGACAGTGCTTCACAGCACTTTCTATAACATGAGAGGACAATTTTGTTATGTTGTGCTTAACAGGTATAAACATGCAATTAGTAGAAGCAATGTGTTTCACGGGACAGTTTTACATTGCTTTAAAGGGAGTCAAAGTAGGAAGTGCAAACACTGTAGTTGTTAAAGATAGCCCCGAGTATGAGAATGAGTATGAGCCAGTGAATCACGTTGAATCATAGGGCTACTAGGACTTCAAATAAATAATGGATTTAAGTAAGGATTAGAAAAACATTAAGAGATTTGCCAAAACACAAATGGTCCAAGGATCAGACTTAATTAACTCATGTAATGGGATCTTGCTACCTAGTAATGGGAAGTTAAATTAACTGCAGCTAAATTTAGACAGATCAGTACAATTTAGCTTCTTTGTATAAAAAGTGTGGAAAAGTGACACTTGGCATTTGCTAAGATAAGGGTGCAAAACTTCTCCGGCCAAGTAACATGTACCCCAAAATATTTTCTAGTACCAAACACATTAGGGAAGATGTGCCCCTGGGTTTTGGGGTACATTCCTGTGGCAGGATTCCCACACGCATTGTACAGACCTGCCCATAGTAGCTATGCCCTAGCTTTGCATCACCAATCCTGTCGAGTTCAGCTTGATGGCAACCAACAGCACATAAAATACAGCTGGAAAGCCCAGGCCTGCGGTGAGGGAAGCGACCGAGCACAGCCCCGCACCACCATGCGGATGGGCAGGTTGTTCTCACGGACTGTCATGCTTGGCAGGGGTCGCTTCTGTCACTGCTGTCACTGTGGCCACCCATTAACTCCCCTGCAGTCCCTCCCTGCTGTGTAGTGGGACCTTTCGGGTCCCTAGCCAGGCAGATCTTTATGCACGGGGCTTTCCGTGTCAAGACGCAGAACAGGGAGCGTGTTCGTTGTCAGCAGCCTCCTCCTCCCTGAGAGCTGGTTACTCGGTAAAGTGATTTATTTTTTTAATTGTGCAGTACTGTTCATAAAATCCTCTACTTTTTTTTCTCTAAGGAAAATACAGAGCACATAACACCAAAGAGCTCTGTTTGCCTTACCTCAACTTTATGCTCACATTGAAACTCAAGAAGTGTATTCCAAGTGAGAAATGTGTCTTTTCAGATCAGGTAATTGCAAACTATTTCTCCTTGGCAGTGCAGCATAGAGAACAGTGCCACATTTTTTTACATAACATGTTGCTGATTAAAATTTGGGCTCAGAAAACCTGAGTTTTGAATTTTCTGCTCTTCCTCACTTCCTCCCCTCATCTTAATCCCTGTCAGTAGCCTGGCCTAGTGCCACACTTGCTGACTTCATTACCTTGTGATGTGACGAGCTGGCACCCTCTGCCACCACTTCCATGAGAGATTAGTCAGCAAGCCTGTTCTCCTCCCCAGCAAGGCTGGTTTTAATAAGTTGCATCCAAACACAGCAAAATGTACTTCTTCCAAGAGCACGCCAAGCTGGAAATCAACATTGCTCATGTGTTGCCTCTCTGCTCGATCTTGCCCTGGGAATAGCTGTTCACAACAGTTCATATCTGGTAGTTTTTTATTCAGGCACCTCAAGAAGAGGAGTCTCTATTACCATTAAGTATGTGACAGTTGGTCACAAGTCAGTGTTGGTGAAGACTGAGACTTAATTAAAATCTGTTATGAGCAATGACGCAATGTTAGGAAGGAGATGCCAGCTGTGAAAAATCAACAGCAAAAACTTCTCTCAGCACTTGAAAATCTATTTGCCATAAAGTATATGAGCATGCTGCGTATGTACATGTGACATTTTAGGACAGTAAATGTATAATCCCTTTCTATTAGTTATTATAGTAGTCTTTTAAAAGTGTACAGGAACATTAGAGGGGAAAAAAATTAAAGAACACCAGCAGATGGGCCCATGTCTTTTCCTGGTGTCTTTTATTAGTGCTCAGAATTGCATCAAAGTGTATTTGGCAGCAATTGTAATATGGATTGCAAATTAAGACACCCAAGAACCATCATGCCTAGCAAGCTCTTTGTGGTTTTAGTCATCATGACATCCAATTCCTCTTCTTTGTTCTCAGTGATGTTTAGTTCACACACATAGATTACTATGTAAACTTTAAGAACAAACAAAAGCGGACGATACATAAATGCATCTGGTACAAACTGAACTGCAAGGTATATGAATATTGCTTAGCTCAGAGAGCTGTCCACACAAGCACCTCTAACAGGGAGAAAACCATGGCCAGGTCAGCAGTGGTTTTAAAACCTTGGTAGCCATTGTGCCTATGCTTTCCAAAAAACAAAATCACCGCAGGTTCAGACACAGCAATAACCCAAGGAGTTACAACAGAGAGGGAATTGTTTTCTCTTCCTCATCAGTAGCCTTGTCTGATGGGGGACAGCAGGACACAGCACCAAGCACATCTTGCAGGTCTGCTGGTGCTTCCTATTGCTCCCTGCAAAAGATAGAGACTAGACTCACCTGTGGCTGCTGACTGGTTACAGTTTGCCCAGGGGCAACCTGAGTCCCGCATGTCCTTACAGCTTTTGTTATTCTTACATAATTTTGTGCTGTGAGATGCTGTGAGAAATACTCCAATAGTCACATGCCTGTTGACATTTTCATGTGTGTTGAATACTTACACAGTTCAATGTAGGGCTGCATTGTCTTGGGAAACGGTTTCCTTCTTTCCATTGCCTGGGAATGAGAAAATCTGGATGCAGTGATGTTGCTAAAAAACAAGTATGATATCCAAACCACATCCTTGTTACCTTTGGGTGAAAACATTATTAGTGGCATCCTGATTTTAGCAATGACCACTGCAAGACTTGCTGACATTGCCACAGGAACATGATGGGGGGGCAGGAGCAGAACAGGGTCCAGGGCTACACTCTCACCTAGGAAAAGGATTGGGAAGGGGGACTGTTACTGTGGAAAAACCTGCTCTGGTCCCCCATCGACATGGCTCCAGAATCCGTATCTGCTAATCACTCATTAATCAGTATTTCCTTTCTCCTTCCTAAGCATGGTTTGTATTCTCCCCTAAGCTCAGTTTTACAATTGCAAGTCACACCATGCAGAAAACCGTGCCCGATAAATTTGCAATCTAGCTGAAACAATATACCATTTAGTTTAACTGTTCTTTATTAAGATTTGTGGTAGCTTTTATAGATACTTTGAAGGCTTTATTAATGGAAGAGTGCTCACACAGGTATTTCACCACATCTGAATGATTCCTTGGATCACAGTTTTTGCATGCCTACAGACAATTGGAAATGGTACAGTGTTCTGTCACATAAAGTAAAAATTTCCTATCTGTTTCTGATATCTAATCTCTTATTTTAGGGTCAAATGAACTTGACTGCAGTCTGCTAATGGATTCTGGAGACCCTGTTTATACAGAATTTGACTTTGAAGACCAGGTAATTTTCCTTCTTCCTCTCTCTCTCTCTCCATATATGAGTGTCTCTCTAGATGTATTTTTTTCTTTTAGATATGTACCGTACTATACACCTTGTCTGAAAAAGATGTCAAATTAAGCATAGCTAAACATAAATACTTTTAGAGTGCTGTATTAAGTAAATGTGTTAAACACACATAGCTTTGGTTGTTGGAAAAGGATGAGTATTGTGTTATCTTCCACTACTTTGCATCATTGAAGTTTATCCATGAACATTACAATGCTGACGAGTGTTGGCAAACAGTCATTGGAATGTGTTGTAAGTCTTCAAAAGAAAGGCATGAAATTCAAAACAAAAACTGTGGAACTCGACTAAAAGCAAATCAAACATTCTCCCCTTGAAAGAGGGGAGTGTTTACAAAAAGAAAATGACAACAAATGCTTACAGTAGGTTAAAGTTATTTTTTCTACTCATCCTGACCTATCCCCGTCCAATAATTAAATTTAGATAGAATTTCGCTTATATACAAGAAAGAAAGAAAACTGGAAACAGTATCCCATTCCAAGCCATATACAAAAAGGAGAGGGACGGCATGTTTTAGCAGGAATTTTGCCTTATCTACCTCTTCTAGTCCTGGCAAAAATAATAAAAAATGTTTGTCTGTGGCATACAGCCTCTCAGAAAACATGTCTGTACTATAGTTAAGATAGAACTGTGAGATGAACAATAGTCTGTATACTGTGCTAATAAATATTAAGAGACTGATTAGTAATCGGTTTCATAGGGAGTTTCTTTCTAAATCATGTTACACTACTGTATGGGTGGCATTTTTGCATATTTAATATGTGATTCCCCGTAAGATTATAAAACTAATGAAGAAATCAGAACCAAGAGACCCGGATTTTCATTCAGTATCACAAATTCATGTACTGGCTTCCTCTGGCAGTTTTCAATGCAATACTTTATCCTTTATTTCAGTTTGGCTTTTTGTCAAGCAAACAGCTTGCCTCCGTCTCGTAATCCCATTTTAAATCCCATTCTTTCACAAATCCTTCTTAAGAACAGTCTCTACCCTAGAAAATTCTCCTAAGTTTCTTTGTCTTAACTGTACAGAATTGTGCTCCCAGTGCAGGAAGCAGTTCTTTCATATCCTGTAAAGCAGTGTGTGGCATAAATTATGTTTGGATTATGCTGAAACTAAATTTTGCTTTCCTAATGACAGAAGTAGGTAATTTTGGCAGAGCATGAACAGTGCAGAAATTACACTCTTTGCTCATAATGTTTGAAATGCTGTTAATATAATATACACATGAGGTTTTAGTTATGAAATAATATTAACAGAAAGAAATATGGGGATATTATACTGATTTGTACTTTCAAACTCTATGGTTCATTAATGGTGCGTTGCACAGTCCCGAAAAGCACTGACTCTAGATTTGAAGTCAGATGCATTTGATTCTCGTATGAAGTTAAATGGAGAAGACTATGACTGGTCCTTATTGTCTTTATCAATAGCAAATACTTCTTCTGCCAGATGTAGTTGTTAGCTTTTCCTGTTATTTTGTCAGAGCAACACACTGTCATTCTGGCAAGAGTGCAATATTGTTATCAAACAGAGAAGGAGAAATTAACTAAAAACAGTACTAAAAACCATTCAGTCATACAAAGAATAAATATGAAGTGCCTGACAGTGGTTGTCTTCAACTGCAAGGAGACATCATCAGCCTTACTGATGAAATTCTTAAAAAGGTAAACCTTTCTGTTATTAATATTTTCAAACTCAGTTTATGTGAAGTGTTTCATACAAATATAAAGAAAATATAAAGGAGTAACCAAAAGTACTTACCATTTAAATTTAGAATGATATAAATGAGTATTGAGCACAAAAGCAGAGAAAAGAAGATTTGCATACACTTATAATACCATGTAGGTACTTGGTCTGAAATTGCAGAAGAAAAGAAGAAAAGATCAATAATGGAGTGCAAGAGTGAAAAATGGCTTGCACTCAAACCTTGAGCTCATTCTGACTGTGGCAGTGATTTAATACGGCTGTGATTTACCGCATGCTGTTTAGGAATTGTGTGAAGCACCAACAACCTTTACGCTGAGAGTCTCAAGTGGAAAGTGAATGCATGTCTGGATACAAATGTGTCATGCAGTGCTGTTATTGCATAGGAAATCTGTCATGAGAATGTGGGGGATAAGAAGGCTGGTTCCTAAGCAACCTTACACAGCTGAGCTGCTAAAATGGTTGAATTTCAGCAGAACATCTTGGTAGCCAGTGAACAAGAGGAGCTGGAGGTTACAGCAGTGCAGAGCATGTTGTTTTCACTGAAGGCAAAGCCACAGCTGCAGATGAGGAGCGCTTGGCCTAGCTGAAGGGACATACACAGATACTTTTGCTTTTAGTCATACTTGGAATGAGCCAGGAAAACCTCCAGTGTAAATTAAGCCTGTGAAGAATTATCTGAGCTCTTCAGACATACACCCCTTCTCCCAGAATAACCTCTCTTACTGGCAGGCAGTAACAAGCAGAATGAGTGGTGGTCTTCCAACTACTGATGTGATCATTGCATCATCCAGAAGTTCTCCAAAATATAGCCAAGTGATTCTAAGAAACATTTTGTACCTAACGTGGAAACAGGGCAAAGCAACACTAACGCAGGCAAAGATCTGGCTTTTCTGGAAGGGCACAGCAAATTAAAATGTGATTCAGAAAAGGCTTTAGCTTTGTGTTACACATATTATAAATGCATGTACAATTAAATTAATTGCTTTCAACATGAATGCTTTGGAGCTAGAACACTTGTAATCACCAAGTCTGCAGTGAAGGTCTAAATCTGCACAACACAGAAAAACAATAGGGAAACATATACTTTGGGGTTAGCCTGACGTGTTCTGTGGGGCGGCAGGGAGGTGGGAATTTCTTCTATCACTAATATTTTTCCATTCCTGTTCAGATATTTAACTGTTAGATATAAGTGCCTCTAGCAGTGCCTCTTGCTCAGAATATTTTGTGGAAGAACCAGTCAAATTTTCCCTTGGTAGCATTCTCTGCAGACTTTTTACAGTCATGACTTGACTGAAAAACACAAAATACAATAAGCTAATAAGTTTCAGATATTTCCACCTATAGCAAGACACCAAGAATGTGTTTGTGGCTATTCATTTTTGGGTGCAACAGGATAGCTACTGACAGAGGAAATAAATATATTTCACTGTCATGACTAGTGTCTCTTTGATTTAATAAGGATTGTCTTCTGTTGTTGGAAGGCTCTCAAGCATGATACAGATTTTCACTGCTCACTCTGTTCATTTTTACTTGCTATTCAATTTCTTGGCTTTGCCAGAGAGGCTGTCAATATAATGCCACTTGATTCCAGAATTCAAATAGGTTTTATCTTTAAGAATTGGATTTTTTAATTAGAAACCTAGCATTTGGCTTATTTTAAGTGCATTCAGGCCAAAAGGGAGCATTGAAAAATTGGCGTCACTGAATCCTATCAAAGACTTCCAGAACAAAAGAGCATCCAATTATTTTCTGGTGAAAACAAGGCTTTCAAGATAACAGCAGCTAGTCTGAGGAATATTTAGACTAATTAAAGAAAAACACTCCTCAAATAAGAAGGAATAAAAATAGATACCCTTTAAATTAGGGAAATGAGATAATAAAGGTAATAAACAGCAGGTAAACTTCGAGTAAAAAACTAAAAATACTTAGCTTCATTTAATCTTTTTCTTCAGGGTATATTTCCTATCTACAATACATGCAAACACATTTTTGTGCCTCAGAGGAAATTACCAGTTTGTAACTGAGGTATTTCCCTGCCCCAGTGTCAGACTAGATTTACTTATGCAATTAGGTAAATGGAATTAAAGATGTAAATGGTGCATGCAAAGGCAAGATTGCCTTTTTTTTTTTTTTTAATTTGGCCAAAGTATGTCAAAGACCTAAGAAAAATGGATGTTAAAGAGACTGAAATAGAATACAAGGTTTTCTATTCAGCAGTGACAAACTGAATTAAGCAAATTGCATAACCTGATCGTTGCTGCAAGTGCAGAATGTTGTATAATTAGAAAATGTGACAGTTCACTTGAAAAGCAGCAAGTAAAACCAAAATGAAGTGGAGGCAAGGAAAGCTCTCAAACAGATTTACACTGATTCTAATGAGAGGAAACAAGCTCTTGATTAAAAGTTGTTGCCATGTGGTGACAATTCCTCTTAGAGCTCGCTGTCACTTCCCACCCAGAACACGTAACGGGCTTGGCTGTAAAGAGCAGGAAAGAGCAACTTTGAGTGAGCTGATGAAAAGCAGACTCCACGGCTACCAAGAGTATAAGAATATCTCCACTTGAATGATTATTATAGCTTGAAATTCCAACAGCAGATATTCAGTGTAGACAATCAAACGTCCCCGATAAGCTTTTCAGTACAGAAGCAGAACAAAAACATCTCTAAAATAGAGGGCAACAGAAAATTGAAAGCCTTATTTAGCTAAAGCTGTCTGGATTGAACCAAAGACTACTTTGCTTCCTCCATTTACTCTGTTTTGTACTGTTCGCATTGTTTTGTCTCTGGTTCCCTCTCCATCTGCTACAGCAGGCTCAATCTAAAGAACTTATTTAGAAGTTCAGTCCAACTGCTTCAGGTTTAGGTTTCAGTATAAGAAAGAGCAAACTGCACCCCTCCATCAGCAGGAGAAGGGACTTTGGGACTACATTATTTAAGAGAAGGCTGGGTCAGGCACGGATTATGCTGTGATATTTGAATCATGCCCTTTCTCTTTGCTTGGGAACGTAAGGGCAATGCCCTTTTGCTGGTGGGCAGCAGTCTCGCTTTGGATCACAGATTCTGGTTCTATAAGGAACCTGATTAAAAGCCGGAGTATGTGCTAGAAAAGAGACTCCTGAAGTCATTCAGAGAACTGCAAAACTCCTCACGTACATTTCTGCCAAAGTGCCTGGAAAGGTGGAGTCCAGCCTTGCTTACGGGCTTTGACAGAAAGAGGTAACGCAGACGA